CCGGGAGCTGGATGATTGCCCGGAGGAAGGGTCCCGGGAGCTGGATGATTGCCCGGAGGAAGGGCCCCGGGAGCTGGATGAGGCGCAGGTCGGTCCTCCCCTTCTTCCCAAAGTTCTTCCCTTGCCCTGCCGGGCAGAGGCTCCTGGAGGAGGTGGCTGCTGCGCGTCCCTCTGACATCCAGGGGGTTGTACTGGGGGGAGGCAGAACCAGCTCTGCTTGTCCCTCAGCTCGCAGGAGGAACCTCACCTCCGGCTCAGAGTCCTGTGCTTTCTTCAAAACCCGTTGCTATCAGAAGCCAGGCTCAGAAACTCAAAGGCACACAAAAGACCCATTTTCCAAACTAAAATATTGGGAAGCAGCCTTTGTATAATGTTCTCCTAATGGTGTGGGTTTTTTCTTTCCTTCAGAACTTACATCTTTTCCTATTTTGACCAACAGAGATGGGCTGCTGGGGGGCTGGAGCAGGTTGTGTGCAAAAAGCTTCAGGTTTCTTGGACTTTGTTACCTACTCTGGACCCCAGAATAGGGGGATAACCTGTTTAGATCCCTGGATACTTCTGGAGGAGGTCATTATAGGGAATGAGAACTCTGCCCAAGGCACAAACATGATCGTACAATTTCAGTGAAGAAACTAAGCTTAAGGAGTGAGATGTGCGACTAGAGTGTTGGAGAGTAAGTCAGCTGAGGAATCTGAGAAATAATTTTAGATCTAGATTTGTTTACTGCAGATTGAATAATTGTTAGTGTTTTTGAAAGAACAGTCAAACTATGTTGTCTCTTGTTGCCAGCTCTTTTTGTAGTAGCTATTTACAACTACATTGGCACCTCTTTGCCTCCTAGGTGACCTTTTAAGGGCTATGATCAAATCACATTAATATCTTCACATAACTAATTCATAGCATGACATTTGTTTTACAGAGGTAGTTGCAAAATGCTATAAAAACTGCAGTACCATAACTAACTTTCAGATGTTTTAGGTTGGGTTTTTTTCCCCCTGTAGATTCTGTAAAGTTGTTTTGTTTTGTTTTCTGTTATGGGGAATGCTTAATTGTAAGTAGACTAGTGAAAAATGTGGCCTTTTGCCACTGGGAATTTATATCCTAGGCCTGAAAAACCTGGGACACTGAATTTTAGAACAATGAATAATAAAAATATAACAGTGAAAGTTTGGCTGCAATGGGTTACATTGATGGTCAACTATGTATCATGCATTAATAAACTACCTTTCATGAAATACAAACTGGGGATTTTTGAGAATACAACCAGTTATCTGGCAATCTTTTTTTAAAAAAAAAAATCAAATAGACTTCCAGATTAATAGTATATATTTGATGTAGATCATTTACAGTTTAACTCTGCCCATAACATTCAAAAAGGTTTTTTTGTTTAACCAAATGAAAACTGCTTCTGCCTTTCCTTGCTGGATAGTCTCAATGTTACTCCATGCTTTTAACTTCCTGAGCAGTACTGGGTCTCAGCACCATCCTATGCTTGAAAACTAGTATTTATTCCTTCTCTTCCTCTGGAAAATGGCCCATGTCCAAGTCCTCTGGATGCTTTGAGAAGAGGATAAAGATGATGTGTAGTCTTGGACTCTGATTCAATTACTTGCTTTGCATAGCTCTGAAATTCACGTTCCTTACAAAGGGCAATAACCTCGCTCTGAGCATCATAGTCCAAGTCTGCTTGCTTTTCCTGCTGGTTTTTTGCTCGCTTTTCAGCCTGATGAAGAAAGGGGAACAACAAAGCTTAGTATTTCTTTCACAACATAACTATCCCTTAAAACTTAGAGTAAAAGCTTACAGGAGACTTGTGTTGATGCTAGTTGATACTTTGCAAATATCCCATTCCTCTTCTCTCCCCTGCTGTATGCCACCCCACCCCCCCAATAAAAAAGAAAAGGGGGTACATTGAATAGCTGAGTGAGCATCAGCATCAGTTGCTGCTCTTTGCCCAGGAGATACAAGAGGGCAGCAGCAGTACAGGACAGGATGTGATCTGTCATTGCAAACCAGCCTTGATCTGCACCAGTGCTCTGAGAGGAGGCGTGTCCCCAACACCAGCACATGTGGAGTGTAGATGATTTAAAAAAAACCCAAACAAAACCAGCAAACAAAAAACCCCAAACAAAATACAGCAATCTTCCTCCTTTTGTCTTAGGCAGGAGTGCTGTTGGTTTAGACGTGTGTTTCTTTGTGAAGGGGCTGACAGGATACATCTATTTACCATTTGCTGGATCTGAATTTTCTTTACTTCCATGTTTGCATCGCGTTGTCTTTGTTTCTTGGCTTTTTCCATTTCCAGGTAGATGCGGTTCTTTTCCATTAACTCATGAAGTTCTTTTTTACCCTCTGCTTTTTCCTCTCTCTCCTTTTCCGCTTTCATCTTCATCTGTATTTTACAAAATACACAAAAAGGAGTTAACCAAGGAGCTAGCCTGCTAGGCCAGAAGTCATCTCTTCCAGCAGAAGCAGCCCTGTATCAGTGTTCTGATAAGCACGGTCATTGTGGCCGGCCAGTGTCCAAGCCCAGCGTTTTCAGCAGCCCTGGCAGATGTGCACCCAACAGGGCAGTGAAGCGTGTGTGATGAAGCATGTTGGTGTGTAGCACCAGAGCCACCAGCTGTGATCTGGGCCAGGCTCCTCGGTTGGAGGAAGCAGGAATAAGAGCAGGGTAGGATTCTTACCGCAGCGGCTCTGTGTTCAGCAATAGATTCCATGGCTGCCTTTTCTCTTGCTTCTTTCTCTTTGCGTTTTTTTTCTTGTTCAGCTTCTTTCTTTGCAATGTCTCTAGCAAGACGATCATCTTCCCTCTTTAATGCCTCACTCATTTGTAGAGCTAATTGGCTAACGATTTTGTCCTGATGTTCCTGCATGAGTCTGCAGAAGAACATGAGCTACCATAACATACCAGGGTACACATCTGGGTCTACCTGAAGCGTTACTGTTGCCAAACTCAGCGGTCCTGCTTCTAGTATTCTCTCCTCTCACCACACAGGCCAGCTCACCCACCCAACTCCTTGATTTCCTTGTGTTCATCCCCCCCTTTTTTTTTTTTAAATTACCAGATTTAGCAAATCAATGTGCCCTGTATTCTTGTAGCACTAGCTTTCTGTTGCAATAATGAGCTGGATCACTCAGTGAGGAGTCTGCCTAGCATCTTGCCATCAGGAGAGAAATGTTGGGAGTATTGGCCAGAAGCAGGAAAAGAAGGAAACACTTAGATTGGCTCAATGATATCATCATGCTGTACTCTCAGTATTAAATTGATAAACTATCTTGCCTTAATAATAACCTGATGAAATTAATATAGATGCCCAGTTGAGAAGTCATATTATGTTTCTTGATCTGACTCAGGGAAATAGAGTTTATGCTCAAAAATACTTTTGACAAGGATTTTAATTGTCTTTAATTGTTGAGGCAGAGGCTTGGCAGGCCATATGGAAAATCACTGTGTAGAGCTTTGTACTTCCATAAGTCCTTTGTACTTGGAAGGGCAGTGAGATCATTCCCCCACACGCCTGTTACTAAGGAACCTGTGAAAGAATTTCCTTTTTTTGCTGAATTCCCTACTTTCCTTATCAGTAGACTTTAATTTTTAGAATAACTGTGGTTTGTGTTACATTATCAGCTTGAAAGATTTGAAAATTACTGCAATATAATTTTTTATTTATTTAAAACTTATACTCTGGCTTTGTACCTACCTACGCATTTCAGCTTCTTTCTTTTTTATCAGCTTGGCAATAGTTTCCTTTGCTTTAAAATGAGCTTTAATCCGATCGTCTTCTTCCATTTGTTTTTGTTCCTCTACTGCTTTGATTATTTTCTGATCTTTTACATGCTCCTGCATGGGCAAAATGGTCATGATACAACAGATGAAGTTTAGAAAATCTCAGCCTGCAGTAGCAGCTTAAAAGAATCACCCCCTATTCTCACTCTTCATGTTTCTTTCAAAGAGAGAAGAGAGGAAAGGGATTCTCCCTACTTCCACTTACTTCCGCCTCCCTGTTGAAACCTGCATGAAGAGGAGGTAGTAAGTATGAGGAAGGAGAAGGGGAACTGAGCACTGGAACAGCTGCCTCCAGACCAGCCCACAAACAAATTGCTATGCAATGCAGTGAGCATTATCCCTTGCTCCCAGCCACACACATGGGAGAGGGGGATGTTTCGAGCAATGGTTCTGTGTAGCCCCCACCAATACATACACAGCCTGTGCTGCTCCTGGCCCACCTCATCCAAAACTATCCCTGTCAAAGAGTTTAATCCAAATCATAGCTGAAGAGGAATTTTCTATAATTTTATGTAAAAAAACAACCATCTTTTGTACGCTAGCCAGAACTCTTCTGAGGTGTTTCTAGTTTGCATTTAGCAAGATACCTTTAAAGATGCAGAGAGAAGGCAGCAGGTCTTGATTAAAGACTCTCCAATCATAAAGGGGAGGCCAAGTTAAAAAGATACTGTTATGTTCAGTTTCAGGCTACTCCCTCTTCCTAACAAAGGAAAATGGGCTTAAAACAGCAGGTATGTGAAAATTAAATCCAGTTCTCAAGTCAAGGAGAATATTCCTTGATGTCTACAGGAAACTTTTACATCATAGACCAGTCAAAGCATCAGGTGCCAATGTCCCTTCAGGCAAGAGAAGAGACCTGCCTCTAAGAGGCCTTTCTCAAAAGCACAGAGGAAAGATACTGCCTGCAGCTGGCCGGGTAGGCCTGTGAGCCAATGCTCCTGAAGCTGTCGGCAAACCTCCTGTTGCCAGCAGGCCCGTTAGATACATGAATGCTATTGTTTCACTCCAGGCAGCCAAGATGAAACAAGCATTTTGAACTGTCTGCTTTCCTGTTACTTACATGATACAGCCTCTGGCGTTCAACTTTTTCCTCCCATTCCTTTTCCATTCTTCTCTGAATTTCCAGTTGGTACAATCGGTTCAATCTCTGTATTTCTTCCCCTTCTCTTTTGTCTTCTAGCTTGGCCAGATCTGCCTGATGCTTGTGCTCCTTTATTCTGAATCAAAAAAAGAAGTTGAATAAATGGGCTACGGACTACATGAAGTAATGAACAGATGTAGATTCTGCATAACCATAGCTACCTTGCACTGAAGAATGTGATACTTCAAATTGGAGTTGGTAGAATATCAGAGGTGAAAAATAGCATCATTGTTTGTAATGATAGCCCTCAGTCCTTTGACCAGAAATGAGCTATGTGGTATGCTCACAGTTTGCAGTCTACTAGTAGCAAGTTTTATCTGGATGACTCATTAACACCATTGCTTTCACAATGTTCTGGCGTAGCTCTGGAGCCTCCTCAGTGTACAAGACTTCCCTGGTAAGTCCCACCATAGCTATGCTTCTCCTTCTGGGCATGCAGGCAACAGCTTAAGCTGGTAGTGTTCTGTACTAAGTTCTGCAAGGATTTATGTGTTGGACCTGGAATATGTGAGACTAGACTTTGAACCCTTCCTCTGCCTCTGGGAATCTGATTCCTTCTATCAGACCATCGGGCTTAGTCCTAGAAATACCACTGGGGACCCTGCCATAAGGTTTCTGGAAGAGCTGAGAGAAAGAATGGGGGTGGCACTGATGAATTCTCTTGATGTGTTTTCTGGAATCTAGTTATGGGCAAATGGAAAATCTGGTTTAACCTTTTCCTCTCCAGGAACCCAAACTGAATAGTAACAGTAGTAACAACTTTTGAATAGCGATTTAACCAAAACCTATTGCTGCCTACCAGTGGCGATTTTACACGCAGGCTGTTGGCAAGTAAAAGACATGGCATATCACAGCTTTTCCCTTTTCTGCAAGGTTTTTTGTGGCACTCTGGATTATTCTTTTAAAGTGTTGCATTTGTGAATCATCTGATCAGTAAGTTTCTATAAAAACCTTATGAATGTATTTGTGAGAAGACAGTAAATAATAAAGTAGGGTTACTTTTGAGTAATTATTACTTACTGTTCCAGCTGATCCCTGCGTAGTGCCTGTTGATTCATGTAACGCTGATGTGCCTTTTCTTGGTCCCTGAGAATAGCTTCTTCACGTTCATGGTCTGTTTCTTCATCCTTCTTTTTGTTAACATCTGACTTTAATTTTTTAAATTCAACTTGAGCATCTCTTTCTTTTAGGACCTCAGCAAGTAGAAGTGCACTCTGCAAGAGAACATTTAAAGTAATTTGCATCTTCAGAAGTGTGTAAAAAAATTCAGTACAATTTGAATTTTAAAATTATAAATTGTCAACAAACATGCAACCCTTTCACTCTTTCATTCTGGTAGTATAGGTAGGTTTTTGCGCGATCAATAGCCTCCTTCCATTTTGCTGCTTGGAACTGTTCTTCTTCCAAATCCAGTTTCTTTCTTTCTTCCTCTTCCCTTTCTTCGCGCAATTTTTTGGCATTAAGTTTCTCTTGTGCCAGGTCCTACAGTGTAGATAGAATTAGAAATCACATTTAAAGCCCATGGATTAAAAATGTATAAAACCATTCTGAAGGTGATGTACTCGATGTTTGGTTTTTTTTTAAAAGTTTGCATTTTAGCTTGATGTTAGATGTTAAATGTATTTACATATAAATGGAGTTTAGCTTAAAATACATATTTAGAAGCAAATGTTAACAAAGCACAGCAAGAAATGTTACCATGAGTGGTTTTGCATATATGAGAATGAATCCTCTTGCTTACAAATGTATCTTGTACTTACCGTGATGAGATTGGGACAGAGTTTTACAGCAGCTTTGGAGGGTAAGTGCATTTCTTTCTTCTCAGCGAGGATGTCTGCTGCTTCTCTAGTTGTGCTGCCAAGGTTGTTCTGAATCCGTTCCCATTCTGCTTTTGGCAATACAATTACCTGACGAAGATCTATGTCATTTGGAAGAAAATATCCATCTAGAACTTCCAAATTACATGATGCTGTGCAGAGGGAAGAAAAGATACTGAGGTTACTTGATATCAGAAAATCCTATATTCAAACCTGTATCAGGAGTTGAATTTTTGTGTAGTGACAATACTAAGTTATCCTTAGTATTAGTTACTCTCCCCATCCCTGTACCCCAGAGCTGAGACAGGGTGTCTGCAGCTGTAGTCTGACTGTGGCCAGTGCACGTACTTTGGCTGTGGCACCAAGTGACTTAACTGTCCGTCCCCTTCCCTGTTTGTCCGTGTGTACAGGTTAGGCTTGTGGTAACTAACGCTTTCTAGGCAGTACTTGGGCATGATTCTGAGAACAGGAGGGACAGGGAGCATTCCCAAAAGGAAAGGGGAATATGGGTAAAGCCATTGTGCTAGCTGGATGAAGCCGTAGTTGGGGCACAGGCTGAGCCTTACCACCCTGGTCCTGCGCGCTCATCGTATTTACTAGGACAGATCTGTTGTAGAACCGTCTCTTGGTGTGTTGTCAGAGTTAGTGTGTCTTTGTCGTAGTAGGCTTGCTTACACATGTGCACACATAAATACAGCTTCTCGTGGTGATCACTAGGTTTTGTGAAACGCCCTTCAAACTGTCGCCAGAGTTTGTGAGGGAAACGTCACTCCGTGGGGAGTGGCGGCCTGTTAGAAGTTCTCCTTGTCCCTCTGAGGTGCAGCAGACCGGCACGCCGCGTCTGAAATGCAAGGAGGCTTTCTCTTACAGCGATACTGGTGGCACAGTCTGTTTCTCAGACACAGTTGCTAATCTGTTTGTCTCACGGTGGGGGCCAGACCTGATCCTCACCCCCTGTGCGAGGTGTGGTACCCTTGCCAAAAGCAGCCGAGCACAGACAGGGCACGGCCGGGCACCCGCTTCTTCCTGCCTGGCAGCTGTCGGGTGGTGCCGTGCCTGCCCTGGCC